ATTTTTCAGTTTTTCAGTATTTCAGTTCTGGGATTTTGCAATGTTTCGGTTCTTCAATTTTTCCATCTTTTGATGTTTCGATTTCTCGGTTTTTCAATTTTTCCATAGGCATTTTAATTTCAATTCTTTCTTCAATTGTGATTTTTCAATTTTTCGATTTCTGAATTTTTCAATGTTTCAGTTTTGGATTTTTTCACTTTTCCGATTCTTCAATTTTCCTTCCATTTTTCAGTTTTTCAGTATTTCAGTTCTGGGATTTTGCAATGTTTCGGTTCTTCAATTTTTCCATCTTTTGATGTTTCGATTTCTCGGTTTTTCAATTTTTCCATAGGCATTTTAATTTGTCAATTTTTAAGTTCTAGATTTTCCGTTAATTTTTTTGTTTTCCTTGATGTTTTGATTTGTCGATTATCCGATTTTTCAAGTTCTCGGTTTAGATTTTTTGGTTTTCCAATTCTTCGATTTTTAGATTGTTCAATTTCTCGATTTTTAGGTTTTTCAAATTTTCGGTTTACCGTTCTTTTTTTCATTTAAAATGTTTCAATTTTTCAATTATTAACTTTTCAATTTTTCAATTTTGGTCTAATTTGATTTCTTAATTTTTTGATTTTTTGACTCCTCTACTGTTGATGTTTGGATTTCTCGATGTTTTAGTTTTTGAACATTCCGATGTTTCGATTTTTCGACTTTTTGGCTTTTCGAGTGTTCAGTTTTTTGATTTTTGAATTTTAGATTTCTGTTTTTTTGATTTTTTTGGTGTTTCGATTTCCCAATTCTTCAATTTTTCGATATTTTAATCTTTCAATTTTTCGAATTTTTAAATTTTTGATTTTTCTTTTCTTTTATTTCTCAATTTTTGGATTTTTTAAATTTTACATTTTTCGATTTAACTTTAATATTGCTGGAATCCTACGAACGTTTTAATGTAATCAGAAATATGGTAATTATTCATCCAAATTTTAATTGTATTTTGGCTAGTTTGCCTTTTGTTAGCCTAAAATCCGCCCTTTACTTATAAGCAAGCAGTAGCCCCACCTATCCTTCCCCTTTTCATTCTAATGACTACTCTTAATATTGTTCAGTCTTATCATAACATAAGTACTAGCCCCGCCCACCCGCCCTGTATTTTCTTAGTAGATATGGCACATATCCACGCTCTTCTCATTCAAAGGACTAATTTTATTTCTGTTCAGACAAAATGAATCAGTGAAATGGAGGCGGGTGGGTGGGCGGGATTAATTATATGTTCTTTGGTATAATGGGAGTGGAGCTGTTATAAAAGAAAAAAATGTCAACAATAAGTTTTTGTTAAACTATTTACTTTAAGATTTGTTTATTATTTTCGAAGAAAATATGAGAAGGGTTGGGTGGGCGGGGCCATGCATAACTTTTCCTTGTCTTGTCTTTGATAAGCCACCAATAGCCCATCCATGTGTCCCCTCTTCATTCTAGTGACTGGTCTTAACATTGTTCAGTCCTGTCTTAGCAAGTATTAGCCCCGCCCACCCACCCTCTATTTTCTTAGAGGGTATGTCATATGCCAAAATCAGTGTCTTCTTAGCAAGTACTAACCCCGGCCCACCCACCCACGCTCTTCTCAGTCAAAGGAATAATTTTATTTCTATTCAGTACAGCATCCAGTTTCTATAGGACCAAATAAAATGAATAACAGAAATGAAGTCGGGGTGGGTGGGCGAGGTTAAAAATATTTTCTTCCGTAAAATGGGAGTGGGGCTGTTAAAAACGAAAAAAAAGGCTAACCGTAATTTTTTGTTACACTAATTACTTTAAGATTTACTTCTTATTTTCGAAGACAGTATGAAAACGGGTGGGTGGGCGGGGCCAAGTTTAACTTTTGCCTGCGGAGTCTTTGATAAGCAAGTAATAGCCCCGCCCATGCGCTTCCTTTTCCTTCTGGTGACTATTAATATTGTTGAGTCCTATCTTAGAAAGCATTAGCCCCGCCCACCCACCCTCTATTTTTTTAGAAGACCTGTCATTTGCCAAAATCAGTGTTTTCTTAGCAAGTACTAACCCCGCTTCCCCCCACTCACGCTCTTCTCAGTCAAAGGAATAATTTTATTTCTGTTCAGTACAGCATCCATTTTCTATCGGACCAGATAAAATGAATAACTGAAATGAAGGCGGGGTGGGTGTGCGGGGTTAAATATATTTTCTTCCGTAAAATGGGATTGGGGCTGTTAAAAAAGGAAAAAAAAGAGGCTAACCGTAATTTTTTGTTACACTAAATATTTTAAGACTTATTTCTTATTTTCGAAGAAAGTATAAAAAGGGGTGGGTGGGCGGGGCCAAATTTAACTTTTTCCTGCGGAGATTTTGATAAGAAACCAATAGCTTCGCCTATGCGCCTCCTCTTCATTCTAGTGACTACTCTTAATTGTTCAGTCCTGTCTTAGAAAGTATTAGCCCCGCCCACCCACCCTCTATTTTCTTAAAGGGTATATCATACGCCAAAATCAGTGTTTTCTTAACAAGTACTAACCCCGTCTCCCCCCACCCACGCTTTTTTCATTCAAAGGACTAATTTTATTTCTGTTGAATACGGGATTCATTTTCTATCAGATCAGATAAAATGAATAACTGAAATGGAGGCGGGGTGGGTGGGCGTGTTTAATTATATGTTCTTCGGTATGATGAGAGTGGAGCTGTTATAAAAGAAAAAAAAATGTCAACAACAAATGTTTGTAAACCTATTTACTTTAAGATATGTTTCTTATTTTCGAAGAAAATATGAGAAGGGGTGGGTGGGCGGGGCCATGTATGACTTTTTCTTGTCTTGTCTTTGATAAGCCACCAATACCCCATCCATGTGTCTCCTCTTCTTTCTAGTGATTACTCTTAATTGTTCAGTCCTGTCTTAGAAAGTATTAGCCCCGCCCACCCACCCTCTATTTTCTTAAAGAATGTCATTTGCCAAAATTAGTCTTATTTAGCAAGTACTAACCCCCCCTTTCAGATCGGATAAAATCAATCACCGAAATGGAAGAGGGGTGGGTGGGCGGGGTTAATTATGTGTTCTTCTGTAAAATGAGAGTGAGGCTGTTAAAAAAAAAAAAGACTGACCGTAACCATTTACTTTAACACTTATTTCTTATATTCGAAGAAAATATGAGAACGGGTGGGTGGGCGGGGCCAGGTTGAACTTTGTCCTGCGGAGTCTCCGATAAGCAAACAGTAGCCCCGCCCATGTGTCTCCTCTTCATTCTAGTGACTACTCTTAACATTGTTCAGTCCTATCTCAACAAACATTAGCCCCGCCCACCCACCCTCTATTTCTCAGAGGGTATGTCATTTGCCAAATTAGTCTTATCTTAGCAAGTACTAACCCCGCCCTCCTCACACGCTCTTCTCATTCACAGGACTAATTTTAATTCTGCTCAATACGGAATCCACTTTCTATCGGACCAGACGAAATGATTAACTGAAATGGAGGCGGGGTTAAATATATTTTCTTCTGTAGAATGGAAGTGGGGCTGTTAAAAAAGAGAAAAAAGACTAATCGCAAGATTTTGTTACACCATTTACATTAAGGTTTATTTTTTAATTTCGAGAAAATATTAGAACGGGTGGATGGGCGGGGCCAAGTTTAACTTTTTCCTGCGGAGTCTTTGTTAAGCCACCAATGGCCCGCCCATGTGTCTCCTGTTCATTCTAGTGACTACTCTTAACATTGTTCAGTCCTGTCTTGGCAAGTATTAGCCCCGCCCACCTACCCTCTAATTTCTTAGAAAGTATGTCATATGCCAAAATCAGTGTTTTCTTAGCAAGTACTAAGCCCCGCCCACCCACCCACGCTCCACTCAGTCAAAGGAATAATTTTATTTCTTTTCAGTACAGCATCCACTTTCTATCGGACCAGATAAAATGAATAACTGAAATGGAGGCGGGGCGGTTGGGCGGAGTTAAATATATTTTCTTCCGTGAAATGGGAGTGGGACTGTTAAAAAAAGAAAAAAAAAGGCTAACCGTAATTTTTTGTTACACTAATTACTTTAAGATTTATTTCTTATTTTCGAAGAAAGCATGAAAAAGGGTGGGTGGGCGGGGCCAAGTGTAACTTTTGCCTGCGGAGTCTTTGATAAGCAAGCAATAGCCCCGCCCATGCGCTTCCTTTTCGTTCTGATGACTACTCTTAATATTGTTCAGTCCTATCTTAGAAAGCATTAGCCCCGCCCACCCACCCTCTATTTTTTTAGAAGACCTGTCATTTGCCAAAATCAGTGTTTTCTTAGCAAGTACTAACCCCGCCCCCTCCCCACCCACACTCTTCTCATTCAAAGGACTAATTTTATTTATCTTCAGTACAGCATCCACTCTCTATCGGACCAGATAAAATGAATAACTGAAATGAAGGCGGGGTGGGTGGGCGGGGTTAAATATATTTTCTTCCGTAAAATGGGAGTGGGGCTGTTAAATACGAAAAAAAAGGCTAACCGTAATTTTTTGTTACACTAATTACTTTAAGATTTACTTCTTATTTTCGAAGAAAGTATGAAAACGGGTGGGTGGGCGGGGCCAAGTTTAACTTTTGCCTGCGGAGTCTTTGATAAGCAAGCAATAGCCCCGCCCATGCGCTTCCTTTTCATTCTGGTGACGACTCTTAATATTGTTCAGTGCTATCTTAGAAAGCATTAGCCCCGCCCACCCACCCTCTATTTTTTTTAGAAGACCTGTCATTTGCCAAAATCAGTGTTTTCTTAGCAAGTACTAACCCCGCCCCCTCCCCACCCACACTCTTCTCATTCAAAGGACTAATTTTATTTCTGTTCAGTACAGCATCCACTTTCTGTCGGACCAGATAAAATGAATAACTGAAATGAAGGCGGGGTGGGTGGGCGGGGTTAAATATATTTTCTTCCGTAAAATGGGAGTGGGGGTGTTAAAAAACGAAAAAAAAGGCTAACCGTAATTTTTTGTTACACTAATTACTTTAAGATTTATTTGTTATTTTCGAAGGAAATATGAGAACGGGTGGCTGGGCGGGGCCAAGTTTAACTTTTGCCTGCGAAGTCTTTGATAAGCAAGCAATAGCCGCGCCCATGCGCCTCCTCTTCATTCTAGTGACTACTCTTAATACTGTGCAATCTTATCTTAGCAAGTATTAGCTCCGCCCACACACCTTGCTCTAGATGGAGTACCTATTCGTAAAAAAATATATTGCTAAAAATTGTACGCACGTTTGTCTTGACCGAAATTATGGTTTAAAGGAAAATATGCAATCAATTTAAAAAAGGATGACAATAAATATACGTATATTTGTGCAGCAGCAACACAGCGAATTAAAATAAAGAATTTTGGCTGAGGTTATAGAAAACCAAGGCATTACTGAAAGAAATCCGATATAGCTGAAAATATTAATCAATTTCAGGTGGAATAGTAACCCCGATTTATACCTTAACGGTTAGTATGTAATCCACGGTAATTCCAGCCAGATAAAAGCTAAGAGGTTTTCTGGAATTTACCATAAACATGACCAAAAGGCGACGATTTTTGGTATTCCAGCTGTACCAAGGGCATTTTACTAGTGAGTCGAAAGTAGCACCAGTCTGAAAAAAATGGTCAAGCACAGTTCGACATCATATTTACTTACTTCATCAATGATTCTTTGACCAGCTTCACAAACTGTCCATGTAATCATCATATTTGCGCAAACTATAAAAAATAAACGAACCAAGGAGATAACGTGGATGGATTTCAAATGCTACAACAACAAATAGTAGTGTTGATTCTAAATTTCCGAAAGACGTACCACGAGAATAAAAACCATCAAACCAACGGAACCCAAACCAGCCAAAACAAGAAAAATTGGCATCGTTATTTTGATGATATCGAACAGTTGGATGACAATTCTGGAAAACGTATTTTAAAACTAAACTAAACAGCGTTAGTTTACTGACCCCCTTAAAGCTATATGTTGCTTGATGCAAAAAATAATTTTCCTTTCTATGTCTTTTTGGACAACCAAGTTGTGCACATTTTCTACCTTGGCGTTACGCGAAATACACAGAATGTGTCCATTGAGGAGAAAAAACTGAATTTTTAGATGCAATAGCGAGTACAGCAATAAAAAGGGCAGCCTGATGCTTGAGTAGGCTGCAAACAAAAAACTACAGAAGTAAAAATGTTCAATAACGCTAGACCAAGAGCCAAAAAAAGCTCTGAAAGTCAAAACGCTTAAATACATATCGTCGAGACTCCCCCATATTGCCAGGTGGACAATTACTAGAACTCCTGCAACAACAAGGAGTGTGTAAGTGAACACGTAGTTAAATTTTTTTGATTGGTTTTTAATTTTTTTTGAAACGTGGGCGTTGACGCTATGGATTGACCAAAGCTTAGATTCCATTGCTTCCTTGACTTTGTTAATCTGTTTGTCCAAAAGCATGGACAAGATCATGGACGTTAGCACCTACGGGACATCATTTTGACTACAATTAGTACTTGTATCTACTTACAAAATTGATGTTTATCCACGTGGAGCTATATCTAAGCATATCTGTATTTGGATGTCGATATATGTAATAAAACTGAAGTAAGTTGACACAAAGATGGAGATAGATGTTATATTTGTTCAAAATTTTGTAAGTTCTTGTTTGCCCATATTCGTAAAATAATTTTCGTACTAGGATGAAAGTGTCTTCGTCAGCTGAGCCAAAAGTATGAAGAGTAGATGGTTTCAATATAAAGAAAAAACTTACCTCTGTATTTTGGTTTTTCGTTAAATTTGAACATTTATTCACGTTGTCTGGTATTGTGGAGACTTGATTCGACCACCGATCTGGTGAAATTAATAAAATACTCTAACGTTTATTAGTTGTTGACCTAGTTTTTTTCAGGAATAATCATGTAGTAGGCTTCTTATTGATTCGAGGTTTAATGAATGTTATATACAGGGTCATTAGTATAAAGTTCCTGAACGATTGAATTTGTTATTTGAAAAGCTTTTTGCAAATTTTGTGTGGACATACAGTTAAACATGGCGACTTGATTACAATATTTTTTTCTTGTCGCTTTCGGTTTGACACAAGGCCGCCTACTTTTTTTTTAACTGAACAGCCAGATTTTTTGACATTTTTTGAAGCAGAATAAAAAACTACTTTGTAAATCCTTATTTGACTTGAATTATTTCTTCAATTTTTCATTTTTTTTTTGTTTCTTCATTTTTTCGAGTTTTGAGTTTTTTCCATTGCAATTTTTCGTTTCAGTTTTTTATTGTCTTTGTTTTTACAATTTTTCAATTTTTCAATGTTTCGAGTTTATAATTTTTTGTTTTTTCAATTTTTCGTTTCGTCAGCTTTTCAATTTGCAATTTTTTAATTTTTTCCACTTTAGGACGTTTCAGTTTTTAATTTTCCAGTTTTTAATTTTTCGATTTTTCGATTTTTCAGTTTTCCATTTCTTCAGTTTTTCGAGAAAAACGAGAAAGTCAAGTTATTCAATGTGACAGTCCAAAATTATTGAATATTTGACTTTATGTTTTTTATTATTATTTCTCTTGTTCTTTGTGGCAAAAAATTATTGAAAGAAAACTATGTACATTAAGTTGAGTTTTTCATTCCTAATCAGACGAGGGGCGGAGTTTAATTGTAATACATTATTTCTCCAGAAAATTCTACCCTTTTAAAAACATATTTCATATGGTAATTTCCTGTAGAGAAATAAGGATTTTGCAACTAAACTCCGCCCTTCAGCTCACGATGGATAAAATATTCATCACAATTGAGAATGGGTGGGTGGGCGGGGCTTATATTTTGTCCATTTTTTCTTAATATACGAAGTCTTCTTTTCCCAACAAGAAACTGAAAACATGTTTAACTATCGTGTTGTTGAAAGAAAACCATATATATATTAAAGAAAAAACAAAAATTAAATAATTATTTCTTCAATTTTCATAATTTTAAATTTGCGTTTTGTGGTTTTTTGGTTTCAAAAACTATTAAAAATTTTGTCTTCTCGTAGATCTCGATCTCGAAAAATTATTTTCGGCTGAAATGTGGGAAATTTTAGAGTTTTAAAAAATTTGACGTTCAAACAGAGAATTTCGAAAATTTTAATCGGGACCATAAACAACCTATATTTTTCAAATCAGCTCGTCGAGATAAATATGTCAGAAATTTTTGCTGATTTTTCCGACAATTTTTCAATACTTTATGAAATTTTTGATCATTTTTCGGCCACCTTCTAAAATTAGCTAAAGACATTTTTTGTACTCGTAGTATTCAGACCCTAAAGTTATTTGATGCTTCATTTCTTGGAAAATTCCTACCATTTTTGCAGAATCACCAATCAAAATATGGCAATTTTTACGATTAGTAAAAAATTTGGTTCTCAAGCTGAATGTTTAAGAAATCTTGCTTTATAGAACAATAAAATCTTCATATTTTTCGAATTAGCACCTTGAGATCTACATCTCAGAATTTTTTTGGACTTTAATAAGCCAATGAAATTCAAAACCGAAGATGGTTGGGATGAGTTTTAGTTTTTTGTTTAGGTTCCACTGTTGTTCAATATAAAATGCACTTTTTGTCCAATAAAGTAGGTAACCAAAAAAATTACTGATTAGAACGTAACGTCGAGATTTAAGGAAAAAAAAAACTTAAAAAAAGTAAATACCTAAGAATCATAAATTCAAAATATTTAAGCTTGGGGTCAATACAATAAGATGAAGCAACAAACTTGACCCTAAACACGCTATATTTTTGGAATCGGCACGTCAAAATCTAAGCATACATAGTGGAAACTTTCGTTTTTGAAAAAGTCGTCTAAAAATTCTCAAAAAATTGAAGGTTATAGATCTTGTCGTGCTAATTCCAAAAATATAGCGTGTTTGTTTAGGGTCATGGAGCAATATTTTCTAAATATTCAGAGAGAAATTCGAATTTTTGAATTTTTTTAAATTTGTAATATTTCAATGGGCGATTCTGGGAAAACGATTGGAGTTATATTTCGTCGATAATTCCAACCGTTTTGGAGGCTGGAAGTGGCTTCGGCGGCCCGAAATCGATAGGAAAATGTATGTAGTTAAATTTCGAAAATCGTCGAAAATGGGTCGAAATTTTTCACTAAAAAATTTTGCATATATGAAAAACTTGACAAAAAGATCCCAAAAAATTCGGGGATATCAATTCGACGTCCTGATCCCACAAATATGGCGTGCTCATCGTTTCCGGGAAAGATTTTAGAAATATCTGGCTTGAAAATCTTGTTTTTTTTTTTAATCCAAAAAATTACAATATTTCATTTGACAATTCTGGAAAAATGGTAGGAGTTATCGAAGAAATGGGACCGGAATTGAATTGTGCGGTTCGAAATCTACAAGAAAATGTATTTAGTTAAATTTAGAAAAACGTAGAAAATTATTAGTATTAAGTCAATGACTACTCTTAATACTGTTCAGCTCTATCTTAGCAAAGTTGTAACTTGAAATCTTTACGTTAAGTTTTGAAAATGACCGAAAATTGGTCGAAAGTTTTCACTGAAAAATCTTGTTTTTGAAAAAGTTGACAAAAAAATTCCGAATTTTTCTAGATTTCGATTCCCAGATTATTTTATGCTTCATTTCTTCGAAAATTACTACCATTTTTCCAGAATCGTCAATTGAAAATTAAAATTTGCATAAGACAAAATTTCATTTTTGAAAAAGTAGTCTGAAGATTCTCAAAAAAATTCGCGCAATATGTTTGAAATATTCGGAATAAAATTTGAAAAATATATTTAGTTAAATTTCGAAAATTGTCGAAAATGAGTCGAAATTTGCATACATAATTCAAAAATTTCATTAAAAAAAATGCTCTAAAAATTTTCAAAAAATTCCTGGCTATAGATCTCGAATTCTGCAGTCCGAAATCTATAAGAAAATGTATTTAGTTAAATTTCGAAAAACGTCGAAAATGGGTCGAAATTCGCCCACCCACCCCTTCTTAATTCAATGACTACTCTTAATACTGTTCAGCTCTATCTTAGCAAAGTTATAAGTTGAAATCTTTACGTTAAGTTTTGAAAATGACCGAAAATTGGTCGAAGTTTTTCACTGAAAAATCTTGTTTTTGAAAAAGTTGACAAAAAAATCCCGAATTTTTCTAGATTTCGATTTCCAGATTATTTTATGCTTCATTTCTTCGAAAATTACTACCATTTTTCCAGAATCGTCAATTGAAAATTAAAATTTGCATAAGACAAAATTTCCTTTTTGAAAAAGTCGTCTAAACATTCTCAAAAAAATTCGCGCAATATGTTTGAAATATTCGGAGTAAAATTTGAAAAATATATTTAGTTAAATTTCGAAAAATGTCGAAAATAAGTCGAAATTTGCATACATAATTCAAAAATTTCATTTAAAAAAAATGCTCTAAAAATTTTCAAAAAATTGAACAAATTAAAACATAGAAGAACTGAAAACTCAAAAAATTGAAAAAACTAATAATTTTAGAAGTTGAAAAGTTGAAATTGAGAAATCGAAAAACTGAAAAATCACAAAATTGAACGAAATATCCAAAAATTTGGAAATCAAAAAATTGAGAAACAGAAAAGTGAAAAAAGCAGAGTTGAAAAATCGCAAACTTAAAAAACCGAAAAATTGAAAAATCAAAAACCTGAATAATAAAAAAATTGAAGAACTGAAGAACTGAAAAATCGAGAAACCGAAAAATCTAGAAATTTAAAAATTAAAATATGGAAAAGTTGAAAAATGTAATGTATGTATAAAAAACGAAAAACTGAAAACCCAAATAAAAAAATCGAAAAATCTAGAGGTCGAAAAATCAAAGAATCGAAGTATTGAAAAATATCAAAACTGAAAGAAATATTCAAAAATTGAGAAATCGAAAAACCAATAAAGCGAAGTCGAAAAATTGAAGAATTGAAGAACTGAAAAATCGAAACTTTGAGAAGTGGGAAAATCAAAAACAGATTAATTGAGAAATCAGAAAACTGAAAATTTAACGTCAAAATTTTTACTACTGAAGAACTGAGAAGTCAAAAAATCGAGAAATCGAAAAATCTAAGATTTAAAACATTGAACAATTAAAATATCCCAAAATTGAAGAATCGAGAAATCCAATTCAATTTAAAAAATTGAAAAATTGAAAAATCGGAACATTAAAAGATTGGAAAATCCAGAAATTGAGAAGTTCAAAGAAAAAAATCGAGAAACCGAGAAATCCAAAAATCAAAACATCGAGAAATTCAAAAACTGAGACATCGAGAAATCGAAAAATCGAAGGATCGAGAAATTGAGGAGTCGTAAGTCGAAAAGGAAAGTTAAAAATTGAAAAATTGATAAATTGAGAAACTGAACAATCAAAACAACGAAACATCTGAATTGGATAAATTGAGAAATTAAAAAATTGAATAATCGAAAAATTTTAAAAAAGAAAAACTAGAAAATTGAAAATTAAAATAAAAAAATTGGAAAAATTGAAAAATTGAAATACAAAAGTATTGAAAACTCGAGATATCGAAAAACCTAGAATTTTAAAAAATGAAATATTAAAACATCGAAAAAAAATCGAAGTATAAAACAGTCGAAGAATTGAAAAAGCTAAAGTTTTACAATACATTGAAAATCCAAAAAGTAAAAATCGAGAAATGGAAAATTTGAAGAATGGAAGAATTGGAAAAGCCCAAAATTGAAATATTGAAAAATTGAGACATTTAAAGTTGACAAATCGAGAAATCGAAAAGCCTAAAAGTCTCAATAGCGTTTTATAAATCACAAGATCAGGACTATGCTATTTTAAAAATTTAAATAACATTATAAATTGGAAAATGTTCATTTTTTTTTCCAAAAATCTTGACGTCCAAGGTGAAAACTCATTCGGAAACATT